ACACATTGTAACATTCGGGTAACATATCTATCTTTGTTGCTGAATACATATACAGATGCTTCATTTCTCTAATTGAATGCTGAGACATTGAATCGTGTATTTTAACCCTCATTACACATTGTAACATTCGGGTAACATATCTATCTTTGTTGCTGAATACATATACAGATGCTTCATTTCTCTAATTGAATGCTGAGACATTGAATCGTGTATTTTAACCCTCATTACACATTGTAACATATCTATCTTTGTTGCTGAATACATATACAGATGCTTCATTTCTCTAATTGAATGCTGAGACATTGAATCGTGTATTTTAACCCTCATTACACATTGTAACATTCGGGTAACATATCTATCTTTGTTGCTGAATACATATACAGATGCTTCATTTCTCTAATTGAATGCTCTTACTTCCAGGTAACGATCTAAATAAACCATGGAATTGTTTATGTTGGTTCCTCAATTAAACAACCTATATAACAAGAATCTGTGTCTGTGTGTCACGTAGCTCTCCCTAAACCGCTGATCGCACCGACTTCTAAATGGTACCAAACGAATAACGTTAGTCCCGAGGTTGACACAAAGATAAAAATTTCACCGTGGGGTGCCCCCCTGTGACACAGCGGTATGTCTGCGCGACTTACAATGTTAGAAACCGGGTTTCGATACCCGTGGTGGGCAGAACACAGATAGCTAGTGTTGCTTCCAGGTAACGTGCCCATTTATAACTTAGGAAAATGTATTTCACAAAATCATATTTTTTGTTCAATATTAACTAGTTAAATACGAAATTCTAGAACATTTCTCCGTCGTCGTCTTTTTGTAATGCGTAATGTTTGACAATTTAGATGGTAAACTAAGAAATGAGTATTTGCATAACAGAACATTTCTTCAACATTTGTTAACACTTCCATCAAGTGACCATCGTGATATTTCATTCTTGGACAAAGAGAAAACAGAATGGGTTTCAGAACAACAACAAAAGGTCGTTTTTCAGTACAAACAGTCTGAACACACAACAACGACCTGGCCCGTCAAATAAAATTTACATCCTAATTTCTGCCACTACCAAGACCTTGGAACATTTTAAATTCTTTTTCATTGGACTGAAAATAAAATCTGTCGTTGATAACCACACAACGATTTATTTTTTATTTAAACCTAGAAACCCTTATGGTATTAACCGATTGCAGATAGTTCGGGTTATATCTTTTAAACTGATATGTTTATGATTATTTAAACCTAGAAACCCTTATGGTATTAACCGATTGCAGATAGTTCGGGTTATATCTTTTAAACTGATATGTTTATGATTATTTAAACCTAGAAACCCTTATGGTATTAACCGATTGCAGATAGTTTTTAATCTGTGGTTAACCTAAATGTTTGTATCACTATAGTTATTTTAACTCATTTAACTATTAAGCTACAGAATGTTTATACTGATATAAGAGTACACCTTAGCTTGTGTTTATCAAGTTTTAGTTTTTACACAGTGTTTTAGAGTTAACAATTTTGTTATGATTTTTCTTATTGTGCTTATATATAATATATATATAACCATAATTTTTGCTGTACTGCTGTATCAGATAGTTTTATACTGTTTCTTAAAAGTTTTTTAAAATATTAGCAAATTTAGGTTTTGTGCTATAGGTATTGTTTGTCATTATAATATTTGTATATTATCTGGTTTTTGATTTGAATTTTCTTTTATACTGAACGGGAAAGCGTCAGTTTTTGAGTTTCCTTCTTAGGTTCATACCTCGTTTTGAGTAATAAAATATATTTCCTTTTTATCGGTTCATGTCGTGTCAACGTGTTTTTTAATTGATAGCCTTGTCAAAATCGAAAAATTACAGTTTTAAGGTACTTTACCAAGTATATTACAGTTTTACGGTACTTTAACAAAAACAGTATTTCCTTGTAAGCTAATTCTTTCTTCCATACATTATTAAAAAAATAGCATCTAGGGTTAATCGAACGACTTTTAACATAAAAAATGCATAACCAAAATTTCAATATAGATATAGAAACGTTTTTTTTTACACGACAATTAATTTGTTGTCCCTCATCAGAATTTGATTTAATTCTGTAAACAATCAACACTTAATTGCTCTGTCGCTTTGAAGTTTCTGGTATTTTGCTCCAAATCTGAATACCCCGTTAATATTCCTGTTTTGTAACAAATCCCTTTCTATTTGGCCAGATATGGAAACCGTTATTTTCTAAGAATAGCAGTTTATGGAAACTCTTATGACTAGAACGGTGCGTTTAACTTAACCATTAAATTATCGGCTTGTTTAGATATGAGAGATCAACATTTTTCATCATATCGAGTATTTTGTGTTTTTTGATTGTTACAACAATTAATGTTAGGAGCTGATCTCCAAAAATAGATGAAATTACTCATTTCCAACATACAACACATAGGAAATCCCAATATTAATTAGTGGGGTTAATTGCAATATTAGTAGGGATCCAATAAAGTCATTACCCATGAACAGTTTGGTGCTAAAATACTTTACAAAAATGTGTTTAAAAAAACCGATGGGATCCGGAAATCGCTGTTACTTTTAGGGTTAAGAGTTCTCAAAACCAGCATGATTGACTGAACTCACCTACTGTGCTAAGCTCATGTCTAATATGCAGTTTAGCCCTCTATATACCAAAATATTAAATACAAAAAGAACAGAAAATCAAACTATTAAATATCCGTCACTTATAGTTGATTTTTCATAAGCTCAAAAACTTTATAAACAAATAAAGCACATGAACCTAATATTCTACAAGGTTATTTAAAAAATAATAATCTAAAAAGGGGAATATGGATCTTGAAAAGATTACAGAAACAAGATTGGTAACTTAAAGTGAAAATGCAATCGCAAAAAAAAAAGTAAACAAACAAGCTTAAGGTTGAGACATAGCGTTGACATTATTTTCTTTTAACCTACAAATCCCTATTTTGACTCTCCTAATGTTTAAACTTTTAGACATGGAGTCAAAATAGGGATTTGTAGGTTAAAAGAAAATAATGTCAACGCTATGTCTCAAACCTTAAGCTTGTTTGTTTACTTTTATGCGATTGCATTTTCACTTTAAGTTACCAATCTTGTTTCTGTAATATTTTCAAGATCCATATTCATCCTTCTTAAATTAACAAGTTTTAATAACCTCGTGTCTTTATTTTTTGTCTATCATGGACAAAAATCTGTATAACAGCAATAATGTTGTATTTGAAATAGCTTAATTTAATGAAATACGTAGTTGGTGTGCGATGTTCTCTTGAGAAACAATGACAACCTTTGGAATGGCTTCTTGTAGATTGGATGGCTATTGCTCCTGATATCATTGCCACAATGTTATCATTTATAGTGGTACTGTATATATGATCACTATGATACATGGTGATCAACATAGCATATGTTATGTATATGCCTGTAAAATATATATAGTTACTATATTTCTACCCTGTAGCTATATGGGGAGTCTGTAAACGCTGGATCGGAAGGACTAGTGAACTATACTGAAATGGTGCATGAACTAGATTTTGTAACTACACGAGTTTTATACATGTATGGTTTATAGTTTTTCTAAGTTGTTAAGCCGTATATATAGATAGCCATATGAAATTTTCAAGTTGTATAGATGTATGCATATATAAGACAATGTGTCATAATATAATATCATATGTATACAAATGATCATTTTTAATATTTCTTCCTCCTCTCCGCTGGCCAGAGTAAGGCCAGTCACAGTTTTTCTGCAGCTAGCCAGATTTACTCTTAGTAACATTCTGCACATTCTACAAGATTAAAAACGTGTTAATTAACAATTATTAGTTGATTATATTGATATACCTCCCACCCTCCCTTTTTGATGGAGTTTGGGTCTTGGTACTTCTACGACTCTCTTATACTGTGACGATCCTAAATTTTGGTGGGCCGTTGCGGCTCATACTTTATCTGCAACTAAATATTTTCTAAGTAAAATATGTAGCTAAAAAAGTTTTGCTTCACTCTCGCCTAGAATCGCCATCATTTTCTCCATCTCCTGTTTGCACGATTCTTGCTACTCCTTAGTCATCTTAAAGGATGGCTACTCTATTTGCAGTGTCAATAATATTTTCGCAATCACGCAGTATTGGGTATTATTCGACACTTACCATCAGCCATCATCATGATTGCCAATCCGATACTCGAAACTGAACATTGTGCTATCTTTTAAAGTATGGCTTAAATATTTCTGTTGTAGGAGACAGCCTAGATGTTTGAATAACATTTTAGACGTTTCTGTAACATGGCTGAAATCGATCGTGCAGCGGTAAAAAACAAACAAAAACAAAACCGTGATCCCGTCAGCAGTGTCGTGTCTGAAAGAGCAGGAACCCTATACATAAACGAATGATACGCAACATCAATACAGTTGCAACAATAAGCTAATAATCGCTATATTGTGTGTATCATGCGCAGCACATGTAAACATTAAATTACATCCACGGCCTGCACACAGTTATATACGTACGCATGCAGTAGATTATGAGACTCCATATAAACCACAGACTACATTAAAACGATTGGATGTCAACGGTTATACAGCCGCTGTTACTTGCTAGGTAGTCAAATAAACTTAAAAACTACCCGACACAATACGCAATGATGCGTTTAGTAATACTGTCCAGGTTTTATTACAATACTCATAGCCATTTTTGCTGTAGGCTGGTGGAACAATATTAAATAATAATAAAGAACAAATGATTCATGATAAAAAAAAAAGTGTTATTTCGCTGCTTGTATCACCAGGGGTCAGTAGAGGCACAAATTGCACAAGCCATCTTCAGAGGTTCTGTTCTATGCAGCTTTAATACACAATTTGTTTAGTTGCTCTCAAAATCAGCAAATTAAGAAAAATAAAGGAGGTTACGAAAGTTATGTAAAAATACTGGGTCCGTTGTGCTGTCCTGGTGGTTAAGGCGCTCAACTCACAATCTGCAGGTCGCGGATTCAAATCCCGTCACTCAACATGCTCGCCCCTTTCAGCGATGGGAGTGTTATAATTTAACGATTAATTCCAATATTCGTTGATAAAAGAGTATCCCAAAAGTTGGCAGTGGTTGATGTTGACTAGCTCTAATCTGTCACCTCAAAATTATGGAAGCTAGCGCAGATAGCCCGTGTGTAGCTCTAGGTCGATTTCCTAAATAAAAAAAAACCTACAGTATTTAATAGTAAATGATGTGTTAAATGCTGCTGTTATTATATGTAAGATACTTTTGAAAGTAGGAAATCTAATTTATCGTGTTCTAGAATGTATTGGCAGTTCTCGTTGTATAAAACTCATCGACTCATATTTATTTTGAAATATGTAAATCGAGTGCTAAAATTCTCTTTTTTTTGTGTGTGGCAGAAATGAATGGAAATAATTGGGATTTTACCCAAGAAATGCTTTTGTTTTTGTTTTGAATTTCGCGCAAAGCTACACGAGGGCTATCTGCGCTAGCCG